CTCCCCGTCTAAAAATAATCTGAGGAGAATTTTTACAGAATAACTAAGAGGATCATTGTTTGTGCTTGGTACATCTGTCAGTCAGTATCGGGGTGCTATTTTGAGTCGGACGCCCTCTCAAGGAGCACAAGTTCCGAGATTGGTCGCAGGTAGGTTCGGCGTGTCCCGTCGACGCAGATCACGATATCGACTTTGCGGACTCTGGAGTCATCACTGGGGTAGGTCTTCGTGACACGCGCTAGTGGCCATCTGTTGCGTGGAAGTTCCTTTTGCCGGAGAATCACGACGTCCCCTTCTGAGAGGTCAGGCGTGGTCTGAGTCCATTTCTGACGGGGTTGGAGGCTCTGTAGGTACTCCTTTCGCCATCGTGTCCAGAATTGATTAGCGAGGTACTGTACACGTCGCCAATGTTGTCGGCCATACAGGTCCTCCTTCACAAAGTTGCCAGGGGGAGCGTCGACGGGGTGAGACTTCAGGGTAAGAAGCATGGCCGGAGTCAGAGGAAGCGGGTCGTTTGCGTCTGAAGAAATGGTCGTGATGGGTCTAGAGTTGACAATGGCGCATGCCTCTGCCATAAAGGTGATGAGGACATCGTGGGTAAGTTGGTGTTTCCCAAGTTGAATGAACATTGAATCTAAGACTCGGCGAATGATCCCAATCTGTCTTTCCCAGATACCTCCGAAGTGGGAAGCTTTAGGGGGATTGAAGATCCATTCACAGTTTTTCGATGTCAGGTACCTGGCAACCTGTTCTTGATTGAGTGTTCCCTCGGCGCCAATGAAATTGGTCCCTCTGTCACATCTTAGTCGAGCAATGGGGCCCCGGAGGGAGCAAAACCTTCTTAGCGCAGAGATCAGGGCCGAGGTGTCCATGGCCTCGATAACTTCCACATGTACAGCTCTGGTGCAAAGGCAGGTGAACAGCACTGCCCATCTCTTGGCCTCAGCCGAGCCGCCTCGCGTCTTTCTTGTGATGACGCTCCATGGGCCAAATACATCCATTCCAACGTTGGTGAATGGAGGGGTTGCTTGCAGTCGGTCTTCGGGTAAGTCCGCCATCACCTGGGTAAGTGGTTTGCCTCGCAGTTTGCGACATACAGTGCAGCGATTGATCACGCTTCGGACTAGGTCGTGGGCTCCGATGATCCATTTTCCTCCAGCTCGTACTGAAGCGAGGGTTAAATGTCGACCCTGGTGTTGTACTTCATGGTAGAAATGTCGTATTACTAAGATGGAGATGTGGCTGCTCTTGGGTAGGAGTACAGGATGGCGTCCTCCAAGGTCGAGATCCGCTCTTCGAAGCCTTCCTCCGACTCGAATGATCCCGTCTTCGTCGATGAATGGGCTTAGTTTACGGAGGGGACTATCCTTCTTCAGGGCGTTTGTTCCGCCTGACTTGAGAGCAGCCGTTTCGTCATGGAAGTACTCGTTCTGGACGGCACGGAGGATCACGTTCTCTGCCTGCTGTAGCACTCCTGATGTCACTTGGCGAGGTGGGTTTTTGTCGGTCTCATCGTTTTGCGATTTGAACCCTTTCACGTGGCTAATCAAAGTTGATACTGCTCGCAGAAGGGTCGTCCATGAAGAGAATCGGGAGAAGCGACTGCAGCCCAACTGCTGTCCATTCTTCGTGTTGGCTGAGCCATGTGCCTCGTCCTCGACACTCGTGTGAATGACGCGAGATTCTTTGCGCACTTCAGGGTCTTCTTGGTTTACGAGGAATTCGTCTCTTGCATGGATCTCCACGATTCTGGAGGTGTCTTCTTGATTCCAGAGGAAATTTGGTCCTCTGAACCACATTGTAGCATTCAGCTGGCTGGCTGGGACTGATCGAGAAGCTAGGTCGGCTGGGTTTTCATCGGTGGGGACATGATGCCACTGGTTTGGGGTAGACATGGTGTGGATCTTGTGCACTCGGTTGGCGACATACACGTGGAAGCGCTTAGACTCGTTCGAAATGTAGCTGAGGACGATTTTGCTGTCTGTGTAAAATGAAGTGCTGTCGATAGACATTCGATCTTTGAACTCGGACTGAATGATCTTTGCCAGCTCCGTTGCCAGCACCGCTCCACACAACTCCAGACGAGGAATTGACACAGCATGCTGAGGCGTTACACGCGCTTTGGCCAGTAAGAAGGAGACGTGCGGTCGGTCGCAGTCGTTAATGAGCTTCAGGTATGCTACAGCTCCTATAGCGTGCTCACTGGCGTCTGAAAAAATGTGAATCTCCCTCCGCTTGGCATTGCCGAATTGTTGCGGTTGGAAACACCGAGGGAGATGGATCTTCTCGAGGTGATGGAGTGAGTCGTGCCAGCGGGTCCATCTGGGGAGATGCTTTTCTGGAAGTGGCCGATCCCAGACATCTTGGGGTTTGCTCGGTTCTCCCTTTGCATCGGTTATGAGTTGACGGAGAATGCATTTCCCTTCGATCGTCACGGGAGTGGCAAGGCCCATCGGATCATATATTGAACTGGTTACTGACAGTACTCCCCGCCGTGTGAAGGGTTTGTCGTCCAAGTTGATCTGGAAAGTGAAGGTGTCACGCTCGAGTGACCAGTAGACTCCCAGAGACCGCTGTGTGGGTAGTGCGTCACGGGCGAGATCCAGGGCTCTCAAATCCTTGGCTTGTGCGTCTTGTGGGAGGGACTTCATCACATCTTTGTCATTTGAAGCAATTTTGTGAAAACGTACCTTTCTTGTGGCCAATGCATCACTGGTACGCCTGATGAGACTGACAGCTGATTGGGTGTCAGGACATGACGTAAGCCCGTCATCGACGTAGAAGTCGCGCCGGACAAAGTCCAGCACGTCCTGTCCGTGGGACTGTTGGCATTCGTTTGCGATCATCCTCAGGCCAAAGGTGGCCACTGCCGGCGATGATACATTTCCAAACAGATGCACATTCATTCGATACTGCGCTATCTGTTTGGATGGGTCGTTGCTCTCAAACCACAGAAAGCGTAGGAAATCTCTGTGCTCCTTGTTCACGTGGAAGTTGTGAAACATCTGTTCGATGTCGCCCATGATTGCAACTTCTCCTACCCTGAACCTCAGCAGAATCCCAAGTAGGCCATTCATCTGGTCAGGGCCCTGTAGCAGCGCCTTGTTTAGGGAGACGTTGTGATATTCTGCACTGGCATCAAATACGACTCGGATGTCTGGTTTCTTGGGGTGACGGACAGGGAAGTGTGGAAGATACCACACCTTGTCGGGCTGACAGGTGAGCTCCTTCTCGGGTACCGGAGACGCGTGACCCCTTGTCAACAGCTTATCGAAGTACGCGACATACTCTGCTTTCATCTCTGGTTTGTGTTTGAGGGTCCTCACAACGTTGTTGAGTCGTCTCAGGGCTTGTGGATAGTTGTTGGGGAGCTTGGTGGATGTCTCTTTGAGAGGCAGGGGAAATTCCAGATTTCCACTTGCATTAATGTGTGCGCCTTCGGACAGTATTTTGATGAAGCGCTGGTCTTCAATGGACATTGCTCTCAGGTTGTCGTCACAGGTTTCTTCGTATAGGTCGGTTGTTGGTGTGGCAAAATTGGGGGGTGACAGGACATCTTTCACATTGATGTGATTCTCACAGGTGTCAGGCCGAATGACCGTGCGGTTGACAGTGGCATGAAGTCGTCCATTTTCACCGGCCATGCAGATTTGTCCGGAAACTGTCCAGCCAAGATCAGTGCACTGAGGCCACGGTGTACCTTTCGGCCCATTCCGAGATTCTCTTATCTTGAGGGGCTCAGGACAGCTTCTGCCGATGAGAAGGATGATGTTTACATCATCTCGTATCTCTGGTACCTTGGTCGCTATGGACTTCAGATGTGGGAATTTTGCGCAGACTTCTGGGCAGGGGATTTCTTTTTTGTCTCCAGGGATGTGTGCATTCTCGATGACTGTTGGAAGCCGCTCGGTCTTTCCTTCGGGGGACTCGACAACAATGCCGCTAGCTCGGCGTCCTTCGGTCATTATTTTACTTCCGCCGCAGGTGGAGAGCTCATAGGGGAAAGATGGACCTCGGAGTTCCAATGCTTCGAAGACTTCTGGGTCTGCTAGGCACGCGTTGGATTGATCATCCAGTACCACGTACCCGAGGATGGATCTTGAGGGACGATCCTTGTGGTACAGTTTGCACAGAACGATTTTGGAACACGATCGTGCAGAGGAGCAAGACAGGAACTTGGTGCACTTCGTATTTGTTTCCTCAATCTTCGGTTTGTCAGCTGGTGGGTCAACAGACGGCTCCCCGGCATTCTCCTTCGGGATTGTGTGCATGAAAGTGGCGTGGTTCGGACTTTGGCATTTCTTGCACTGCACTTTGGTGTTGCAGTCCTTAACCCTGTGGTTGTCACCACACTTGTAGCAGAGGCCCTTGGTTTTACAGAACTCTCTCCTTTCTTTCATGGGTTCTCGGCGAAATGCGATGCACTCAGAAATGTGGTGGCCCTGCTTGTCATGATAAAGACATCTGCTCACCGTCTGGGAAGTAGACAAAGACTTTGCTGGTGTGGAGGTGGCCATTACTCGAAGGGATGAGCTGGGACTCCGGCGGGCAGGTGCTCTTTCTGGTTTGTGGTTCAGATGGGGGGAAGGGTACAGCTCGGGGTCGTTTTGGATTCTGGCCTTTTCTTTGATGAACTTCGCTAGCATGGAGAATGGTGGGTAGGTCCCGACAGACGTCTTGTATTCCGATGCTCTTTTTCTCCACGCATTGTGTATGTAGGTGGGTAGTTTTTCCAGGATTGGGTGCGTGTTGAAGGAGTAATTCAGGATCTGTAGACCGGTTAGATCATCCATCTGTGCGGCCGTATTGGCGCACAAGTCTGCCAGTTCCAGAAGTTTGCGATGCTCGTCTGTTTTGATCTTGGGGAAATCATGGAGTTTCTTTATGATTTGGGTTGTGATTTTGGTTTTATCACCAAACCTCTCCTCCAGTTCCTTTAGCGCCTCCTTGTAGGCAGTTTCAGGGTTGGCCACATAGCGATGACGGAAACGGTCGACTAGTTGTCTGACTTCTCCCTTCGTATATTTTGCCAGGAAAGCAAGTTTCTGTGTAGATGGGGTTTGGGCCTGGCTAATCATCGTCTTGAAGGAGGACAGCCACGGCTGGAACATTATAGGGTCTCCCCCATAGATGTCAGGCTCATGTGCTGGTTGTCTCTGGCGTGCAAGCGTGTCGGTTATGTCCTTTGTTAGACTGACTAGGGTGATGTCGGCGCTCTGCTTGCCTAATGGCTCCGTTGACTGTGTGGGTCCTGTTGAGAGGAGAGGGGAATTCTGAGGTGAGGGGGACTGTTCTGTTGCTGGTTTGAATTCTGGGGCTGAGGGGCGGAGTTGACATGTCTCTGTGGGGGGTGTCTTGGCTTCATTGGATGAACGAAACAATGAAGCGTGGTCATTAGAGGTCTGATTGGGCGAAGTTAGCAGTGCGTTTTCTTCTTGGTCCGCCTGGGTGATGGCTTCGGAGCGAGCTCGCTCGATGGCCGCAGCTTGCTTGGCTTTCAGGATCTGTATATCTGCTTCAGCTGCTGCTTGAAGTGTCTGATGTTCCAATTCTCGCCTTGCGTGCTCTACTCGAGCCTCTGCGTCTCGTCGAACCTGTTCAAGTTCTCTGGCGGCTTGCTGGGCGACCAATTCTGATGAACGCCTGGCGATCAGTTCTTCATATGTTGCATTTTCAGCTGCAGCAGCAGCAGCGGCCAAGGCTTGGGCCTTGGCACTGCAGGAGGATGAAGACGACGCCTTGGAGGATTTCGACAGCAGGCTGTGTTCAGTGCATCTCGATCGGCCCGAAAAGTTGGATTTCGTCTCAAGTGCAAGGGAGTATGCCCATTCCGTGGCTTGGGCAATGGAACTGTTGGCATTGTTGCTGTTCTCGAGAAACGTCGTTCTGGCTTGAAGCGCATCTTCCTTGAGTGATTCGTCTTGATCGTACAGTTTCTCCAGCTTGTTCCAACACTCGTGGTAGGCCTCTAGGGTATTTTTTGCCTCTTTGACTATGGCAAGGGCGTTATCAGCAGTAGTTGGCTCTGACGTCTGTCTGAGGGCCTGCTGGGTCATCTTCCACAGCTGGTTCAGTTCTTTCTCGGCTGCTTGGATGGAAGTGATAAGCGCCTTGTAGGTGGGGCGTCTCTCTCGTTGAGGACGACCAGGTACATCTGTATCATCTTGAACACTGGTGTCCGGTAACTCACTTTGAACGGGTGGGCTCTGATCAGACATCTTGCCTGTTCACTTGTCGGGAACAGTCAATTCAC